AGAAGCTTTTACACACAGACGCTTTTACACACAGACGCTTTTACACACAGACGCTTTCAGACACAAAGATTTACACACGCTTTCGCACACACACAAACACTTTTACACACAGACGCTTTTACACACAGACGCTTTTACACACAGACGCTTTTACACACAGACGCTTTTACACACAGACGCTTTTACACACAGACACTTGTACAGAAACGAAAGCGTCCATCGCAATTTTTCCTCAGTTTTTGACGTCCAACGTCCATTTCGTGCGAAAGAGTTACGATTGACCAAGTAAAATCGCAATTTTTCCTCAGTTTTTGACGTCCAACGTCCATTTCGTGCGTAAGGGTTGCGATTGAATAAGTAAAGTCGCAATTTTTCCTCAGTTTTTGACGTCCAACGTCCATTTCGTGCGTAAGCGTTGCGATTGACAACTCAAAGTCGCAATTTTTCCTCAGTTTTTGACGTCCAACGTCCATTTCGTGCGAAAGGGTTGCGCGGGACGCTTCAAAGTCGCAATTTTTCCTCAGTTTTCGACGTCCAACGTCCATTTCGTGCGAAAGGGTTGCGCCGCACGCTTCAAAGTCGCAATTTTTGCTCAGTTTTTGACGTCCAACGTCCATTTCGTGCGAAAGGGTTGCGCGGGACGCTTCAAAGTCGCAATTTTTCCTCAGTTTTTGACGTCCAACGTCCATTTCGTGCGTAAGGGTTGCGCGGGACACCTCAAAGTCGCAATTTTTCCGCAGTTTTTGACGTCCAACGTCCGTTTCGTGCGAAAGGGTTGCGTTTCGTGGCGCTCCGGCGGCACCGCCCCCGCCTTAAGAGAGAATAGAAGAAGAGCGAGAGGAGATCTGCAGATGTGAAGGTGTGAAGATGTAGATCTGCAGATGTGAGGGTGTGAAGATGTAGATCTGCAGATGTCAGGGTGTGAAGATGTAGATCTGCAGATGTGAGGGTGTGAAGATCTAGATCTGCAGGTGTGAAGGTGTGAAGATCTAGATCTGCAGGTGTGAAGGTGTGAAGATGTAGATCTGCAGATGTCAGGGTGTGAAGATGTAGATCTGCAGATGTCAGGGTGTGAAGATGTAGATCTGCAGATGTGAGGGTGTGAAGATCTAGATCTGCAGGTGTGAAGGTGTGAAGATCTAGATCTGCAGGTGTGAAGGTGTGAAGATGTAGATCTGCAGATGTGAGGGTGTGAGATTGTAGTGACTCTGACAGATGTGAAATGGCCTTTTGTGAAGATTTGTAGATCTGCAAGGCTGGAAGATCTCGATCTGCAGGTTGTGAGGGTGTGAACGAAGATGTAGTCTGGCAGATGGGAACCGGTCTTGAAGATGCTAGATCAGCAGATGGGAAGGTGTAAGATTCAGATCTGCAGGTTGTGAAGTGCGAATGATCTAGATATGCAGGTGTGAGGGTGGAAGATGTAGATCTGCAGATGGAAGGGTGAAGATGTAGATCAGCAGATGTGAAGGTGTGAAGATGTAGTATAACGGCTGCTTTTTTACGAAAAACCCTTCGCAGGCGCTCTCGGGAAAAAACATGCTTACAACATCTTGCAACAGCCCACTTTCGAAATCTTGAGGACAACTGAACTTCAATAAAGAATCATCAAACCAGATCTGATTCAAACCATACTAAAGCCATATCAAACCATACAAAACATTACACAACCTTACCCCAAAAAGCATGGCATTCACGCAGTTGGTCTTGAAGACAAGAAAAATCGATTGTATTCGAATTTATCAAATTGTCTTAGTCACACCAGGCACCCACATGAAGCACAACTGTAGAACACTCGCCTTGCGCATCTCCTTGAAAGCGGATGCCAAGCGGCCATCGCGGGCAGCTTGCAGCAGCGTGTCCCGGGCCTCGCAAAATGGTGCCCTTCTGAACATTCTTTGAAGCATTTTGAAGCAGTTTGAAGCACTTTGAAGCAGTTTGAAATAGTTTGAACAGTAGGAGCAGGAACAGTTTGAAGCAGTCTGAAGCTGACTGGAGCCAAACACAGTATTACATGGCACAACTTCGAAGCCTCACGACGCAGGGACTCCACTTCAGCCTGCTTGGTATCAACCTCCTCAACCTGTCCCATCGTCACAGCACGAATCACACTTTGGAACTCTTACGTGGCCAAAAACAGGATCTGCAAATGCCAAAAAAAACATGCTTACAACATCTTGCAACAGCCCACTTTCGAAATGTTTTTTACAAATGACCTTCAATAAAGAATCATCAAGCCAGATCTGATTCAAACCATACTAAAGCCATATCAAACCATACAAAACATTACACAACCTTACCCCAAAAAGCATGGCATTCACGCAGTTGGTCTTGAAGACAAGAAAAATCGATTGTATTCGAATTTATCAAATTGTCTTAGTCACACCAGGCACCCACATGAAGCACAACTGTAGAACACTCGCCTTGCGCATCTCCTTGAAAGCGGATGCCAAGCGGCCATCGCGGGCAGCTTGCAGCAGCGTGCCCCGGGCCTCGCAAAATGGTGCCCTTCTGAACATTCTTTGAAGCATTTTGAAGCAGTTTGAAGCACTTTGAAGCAGTTTGAAACAGTTTGAACAGTAGGAGCAGGAACAGTTTGAAGCAGTCTGAAGCTGACTGGAGCCAAACACAGTCTTACATGGCACAACTTCGAAGCCTCACGACGCAGGGACTCCACTTCAGCCTGCTTGGTATCAACCTCCTCAACCTGTCCCATCGTCACAGCACGAATCACACTTTGGAACTCTTACATGGCCAAAAACAGGATCTGCAAATGCCAAAAAAAACATGCTTACAACATCTTGCAACAGCCCACTTTCGAAATCTTGAGGACAAATGACCTTCAATAAAGAATCATCAAGCCAGATCTGATTCAAACCATACGAAAGCCATATCAAACCATACAAAACATTACAAAACCTTACCCCAAAAAGCATGGCATTCACGCAGTTGGTCTTGAAGACAAGAAAAATCGATTGTATTCGAATTTATCAAATTGTCTTAGTCACACCAGGCACCCACATGAAGCACAACTGTAGAACACTCGCCTTGCGCATCTCCTTGAAAGCGGATGCCAAGCGGCCATCGCGGGCAGCTTGCAGCAGCGTGTCCCGGGCCTCGCAAAATGGTGCCCTTCTGAACATTCTTTGAAGCATTTTGAAGCAGTTTGAAGCACCTTGAAGCAGTTTGAAACAGTTTGAACAGTAGGAGCAGGAACAGTTTGAAGCAGTCTGAAGCTGACTGGAGCCAACCACAGTATTACATGGCACAACTTCGAAGCCTCACGATGCAGGGACTCCACTTCAGCCTGCTTGGCATCAACCTCCTCAACCTGTCCCATCGTCACAGCACGAATCACACTTTGGAACTCTTACGTGGCCAAAAACAGGATCTGCAAATGCCAAAAAAAACATGCTTACAACATCTTGCAACAGCCCACTTTCGAAATCTTGAGGACAAATGACCTTCAATAAAGAATCATCAAGCCAGATCTGATTCAAACCATACGAAAGCCATATCAAACCATACAAAACATTACAAAACCTTACCCCAATAAGCATGGCATTCACGCAGTTGGTCTTGAAGACAAGAAAAATCGATTGTATTCGAATTTATCAAATTGTCTTAGTCACACCAGGCACCCACATGAAGCACAACTGTAGAACACTCGCCTTGCGCATATCCCTTGAAAGCGGATGCCAAGCGGCCATCGCGGGCAGCTTGCAGCAGCGTGTCCCGGGCCTCGCAAAATGGTGCCCTTCTGAACATTCTTTGAAGCATTTTGAAGCAGTTTGAAGCACTTTGAAGCAGTTTGAAATAGTTTGAACAGTAGGAGCAGGAACAGTGTGAAGCAGTCTGAAGCTGACTGGAGCCAAGCACAGTATTACATGGCACAACTTCGAAGCCTCACGACGCAGGGACTCCACTTCAGCCTGCTTGGTATCAACCTCCTCAACCTGTCCCATCGTCACAGCACGAATCACACTTTGGAACTCTTACGTGGCCAAAAACAGGATCTGCAAATGCCAAAAAAAAACATGCTTACAACATCTTGCAACAGCCCACTTTCGAAATCTTGAGGACAACTGAACTTCAATAAAGAATCATCAAACCAGATCTGATTCAAACCATACTAAAGCCATATCAAACCAGGAAGGGACATACACTCTGGTGCTTTTCAAAGCTGTACCTCAAACCTAACCTCTCCCACATGAGTTTCGCCACACGTGCAACATGTGCAGTTCCCTTCCAAATCCGACGATTGATTGGAAGCCATCTGCAACAAGACAGGTTTTTACTGTATACAATACGGGGCAGTGATAGCTAGTGACTCGTGGAACTCTTGCCATGTATGGAAAAGCGTGACTTAGTCGTCTAGTTTTCTTACAACACCAATACTAAAGTATAGCTGCATCAGACTGCAAAAGGCCGCAAATGCCTTGCGGCTCAACAAAGAGGCTATAGTGCCGGACAGTCACTTAGAACAGCATGTTTTTTTTTCCAAATTGTTGGACTCTCACACTTAGAACATCCAAAACCCCCCCACACTTAGAACTTCCAGAGCAAAATCAGTTAGAACATCCTATGTGTAGGTTGATGGATGTTCTAAGTGTGAGGCTCCTTGAAACTAACCCTGGATCCCCACTCACAAACAAGAGCTCGTTCAAGTGTTTTTTGTCAATAGATCATTTTAAAAACATACATGTCAATAGATCCTGTTTAAATATATTTGTTGTAATGTCTTGGCATGTTCTAAGTGTAAGGGTCTCCACAGCTGATTGACAACTTTGTGTTCATATAGATATATCTCGGCACCTCTAAATCATCCTCAGAGTCAGCATTGAGCAATCCTTTCTGCGCGGATGCCTAGGTCGATCAAGCCCTGTAGAAAAGGTCCAGGTGAAGTGGAGGTGAGAAGCCGAAACACACTGGAATGTCAAGTGACTTAGGTCATGGTTTGATGTTGATCGAGCAAGAATTGCATCACAGCCGCAGCCACATTAAATTGTAAACATGGGCTGCAAGACAGCCATATAGAGAATTTGAAAAGAGTCGGCACACTGAAATGTTGAATAGACTGTGGAGATGGCCTGGGCAACACCATCTCTGTCCGAATGATCATCCACCTTATTGATATCCTCCCCCTCGTCAGACTCATCAAACCTCGTCGCCGTCGTACCAAGTGAGAGTCGCCTCCGAGCACAGAAGGAAAGGAGTTCAGGAGAGACGCTGTAGTTACGCTGCAAGAGCCAGCTGCTTGATTCACAATTATATCATAGATTGTCTTAGCATGTCTTCGCAGTACGCCCGAAAGACATGGTCACGACGAAATGGCCACGAAGTGTCAGTTTGGATCTTGACCAGCCCAAAGCCTCGTGTCCTTCTCAGACTCCTCCTCTGCGGAAGCCACTTGCAAAAGGTCCTGATTGGGAAGGATCCCATGTATATTGATAATTACTGATTGCCAACCGGGCAAATGAAGTCCATCAAAAGAGACCGTGGGACAACCAGGTTCAACCTTCAAAAGTATCTAGCAGCTGTGTCCTGTTGGTAAAAATAGATGGGCCGATTTGGGACCATGTCCATATGGGCTGTTCATTGGGGAAGCTCCACTCTTAATGCACCGTGATGTCTACTGTCCAGTCACAACTGCTGAAAACCTAGCGATGGAAACGGGACGAAAAACGGTCTCTTCTGGCACCTCCTCCAGCTGTGGTTTTTCACAGTTCACCGGAGCCAAGATCTGCTCCTGGTGGATTTCTCATGAGGCTGCACAGTGTCCGGGGTCCACCAACCATTTCCAAGCACTGTCAATTGGAAGAAAGAATATGTTGTATCAAACGTGTAACTATCAAGAAAAGGAGTGTGATATGTTCACAATATTGCTTCCTTGCTTGCTTTCTTGCTTATCTGCGAAACTGGTGCGCGTTCTTGTTTCCACTCAAATTAGTTTCATAAAATAAACATGTGCAAGTGATGCTTGTGGTCCCATTCAAATTGCCAGCTATCCCCATGAAAACCAGCCACTGGCTCAACCCCCTTCGACACCTTGGCACCGAGTTTTGCAACAAGTTCGCTTTGGCGACGCGTACTAATGACCTGCTGCAGGACGAAAAGAATGATCACGACATAGCTGAGAGGGTTCTTTTGCAAGTACTTTTTCATGACCTCGATGAGTTTCTCCGCCTGTGGTGTTGCCATTGTGCCAATAGCCAAGCTAATGCCCATGATGATGGCACCCACCGACGTACTCCGAATCAACTTGGCTGGCTGGAAGAAATCCGCGAAGGATTGCTTGCGGTCTGGAGGCTGCAAGCAGTAGCCTCGCAGCTCGTTGCCAGGCGCCGACAAAACACATGCTGCCACAACGGTGGCGAACATGCTCACGACTCTTCCCATCATGGTGCTCGCAATGGCAGGGTTCAAGCTCGTCAGGAAGATTGACACCTTGTTGCGAGCAATGCCATAGATGATGTCTCGCAAAGCTGTCGGACCACAGGCCTGGTAGAGATTGCCTGGAGTCACTGGCAAATTCATGGATTTTCGGAACCGGTAGTTGGTGATTGGCAGGGTGATGGTGCAGACGGATCCAAACACTGCTGCTTTGGCAGTGGGAGTAAGATGGACACCCTGCATGATGATGTCGGTAGCTTCAAAAAATGGGAACTTGATGAAGTTCGTTGCCAAAGTGGTCTGCAAGAATTTCTTGATCATCTGGGCATCCAGCTGCTTGATAGCCTCCATCAAGGGTGTCCGCTTCACCAGCATGTTGTTCACCAAGGGTTCGGTCACTGCGCTGAGAGAAGCTGCTACCACGGCACCCACTGCTCCCTGGGAAGCAGCGCCAATCACGCGGCCCATGAGATCCTGCTCCGACATGGCTTGATCTTTTCTACCCAGAACCTCTTCTACTAAATGGTCAGAACCCAAAAGCTCCAGTAGCATGTCTCTACTTGGAACATGTCTCTACTTATTGCCAGTTCTTGCATGTCAATTCATGCTGTTGTTGGTGGTGCTGCTGGTGGTGCTGCTTGTTCGCTTGCCTGTCAGCCCAAGTGTCTTGTCAAGTGACGCTTCGAACCAATTAAAGGACCGGATAACCCCACATGTTACCAACTTCTTTAGACTTAGACTGACCATAGAAGAGCAAGAAGGGAAGAGGAAGTATAAGAGTGATGGAGCGGTGATGGTGGGTGAGTTTGTGTGTATGTATGTATGTTCATGTACAGTGAGTGAGTGAGAGTGTGAGTGAGTGATGCGAGTGTGGTGTGTGTGAGTGAGGGATGTGAGAGTGAGTGAAGTGAGTGAAGTGAAGTGAAGTGAAGTGAAGTGAAGTGAAGTGAAGTGAAGTGAAGTGAGTGAGTGGGTGAGTGAGTGCGGTAGGTGAGGTAGGTGAGGTAGGTGGTGAGGTAGGTGAGGTAGGTGAGGTAAAGTTGCATGGACCAGCTGGACTGATGAGCTAGGTTACGGATTTTGTGCTATACTTTGCGGCTCGGACAGTTGCAAGAAATGGATCCGTCCACTGTCATTTTTTCCCGAGAGCGTCTGAGCGCAGGGTTCTTCCAATAGTGGGGGTCTGTAAAACATCTTCTCCTCTTCACATCTTCTCATCCTCACATCTTCCCATCTTCACAGCCTCACATCTTCTCATCTTCATATCTTCTCATCCTCACATCTTCTCCTCTTACCCTCTTGCCCTCTTGCCCTCTTGCCCTTTTGCCCTCTTGCCCTCTTGTCCTCTTGCCCTCTTGCCCTCTTGCCCTCTCCTTCTTTTCTATTTCTCTCTTGAAGGCGCGGGGCAGTGCCAACGAGACGGCACGAAACGCAACCCATTCGCACGAAATGAGGTTCGATCGCCAAAAACTGAAGTAAAATTGCGAGTTCAAGTCGTCCCGCACAACCCTTTCGCACGAAATGAGGTTCGATCGTCAAAAACTGCGGTAAAATTGCGAGTTCAAGTCGTCCCGCGCAACCCTTTCGCACGAAATGAGGTTCGATCGTCAAAAACTGCGGTAAAATTGCGATTTCCGCGCAACCCTTTCGCACGAAATGAGGTTCGATCGCCAAAAACTGAAGTAAGATTGCGATTTCCGGGTTCCCGTCGCAACCCGCACGAAATGAGGGTCGAAAATTGCGATTTCAAGTTGTCCGGCGCAACCTTTCGCACGAAATGAGGTTCGATCGTCAAAAACTGGAGTAAAATTGCGATTTCTTCTGTGTGTACAAGTGTCTGTGTAAAAGCTTCTGTGTGCTGTGTGTAAAAGCTTCTGTGTGTAAAAGTAAAAGCATCTGTGTGTAAAAGCCTCTGTGGTGTAAGAGCCTCTGTGTGTAAAAGCGTCTGTGTGTAAAAGCGTCTGTGTGTAAAAGCGTCTGTGTGTAAAAGCGTCTGTGTGTAAAAGTGTCTGTGTGTAAAGTAAGCGTCTGTGTGCAAAAGCTTCTGTGTGTAAAAGCGTCTGTATGTAAAAGTGTTTGCGTGTAAAAGTATCTGCGTGTAAAGCGTCTGCGTGTAAAGCGTCTGTGTGTAAAAGCTCCTGTGTGTAAAAGGGTCTGCGTGTAAAACCGTCTGTGTGTAAAAGCGTCTGTGTGTAAAAGCTTCTGTGTGTAAAAGCGTCTGTGTGTAAAAGCTTCTGTGTGTAAAAGCTCCTGTGTGTAAAAGGGTCTGCGTGTAAAAGTCTCTGTGTGTAAAAGCTTCTGTGTGTAAAAGCGTCTGTGTGTAAAAGCCTCTGTGTGTAAAATCGTCTGTGTGTAAAAGCTTTTGTGTGTAAAAGCGTCTGTGTAAAAGCTTCTGTGTGTAAAAGATCTGTGTGTAAAACTGTCTGTGTGTAAAAGTGTCTGTGTGTAAAAGTGTCTGTGTGTAAAAGTGCCTGTGTGTAAAAGCGTCTGTGTGTAAAAGTGTCTGTGTGTAAAAGCTTCTGTGTGTAGAAGCTTCTGTGTGTAAAAGCTTTTGTGTGTAAAAGCTTCTGTGTGTAAAAGCGTCTGTATGTAAAAGTGTTTGCGTGTAAAAGTATCTGCGTGTAACAGTGTAAAGCGTCTGCGTGTAAAGCGTCTGTGTGTAAAGGAGTCTGTGTGTAAAAGCCTATGTGTGTAAAAGCGTCTGTGTGTAAAAGCTTCCGTGTGTAAAAATGTCTGTGCGCAAAAGCTTCCGTATGTAAAAGTGTCTGTGTCTAAAAGCATCTGTGTGTAAAAGCGTCTCTCTGTAAAAAGTTCTGTGTGTGAAAAGCTATTTGAAAGATACGGTGCAAACTATTGTCTTGTACTTTTGCTATATTGTCTTGATACTCCTCTTCTTGTCTGCCTATAACACATCTTTGATATATTGTTTTGTAATATGGTGTCTCCATACTAACAAGAGAAGACCCTGCTCCTCTACGCTCTCGGGCCATCCGTTGTCTAGTTCATTCTTGGTGCCGCCAGTCGAAAGCCTTGTGCGGTTCTTTTCATCGCCATGCTTCTTGCCCCCTGCTGTACAGGATGCCATTAGCACTGCAAGCAGATCCTTAGTGGAAAATGTGCAAACCATGCCACCCCAGGGCATGAGGCAGATTACGGAGCGGTAAGGAGAGCATGTAAAACTGCAAGGACTCACCAACAGCCAAGTGTGTTGCCAAATGCACTGTGTAATCTCCAAGCTGTAGGGAAGTAGGGAAGCCAAGTGAGTAGATTGTGGCATAAAAACAGCAGAGAGAGAGAGAGAGAGAGAGAGAGAGGGAGGGAGGGAGGGAGGGAGAGGGAGAGAAGTTACAGATTGAGGTGTGCTGATGGGATGTTTGGACTTGTTGCACGCACTCAAACCTCAACATCTAGTTCCTGGGTTCCAGACTTTTTCCTGTAGCATTGAGCACCTTGGATTTCAAAGTATTTTGAAAAGGACTGTCCCTTCAGGATTTAGACCTCCCTAGGCAAGAAAATCTCAGCTGAGACTCTGACGGAGGCACCGTGGCCGCCAAAAATGGAATCTGCCAGCTGTCCAACTGCTTTGCAAACTCGTGTACGAGTTGCTGGAGCAGGCACAGTTGGACAGGAGGAGGAAAATGCCTCAGGCGAGCACTGCAAAATAGAAATTGTTTCAAACAAGTTCTGGTTGATGTTTTCTTTCAGAAAATGCCTCAAACAACACGGCACAGATGAACATGTCATCAGCCAAAAAACTTCCACGCTTCCAGCTGGCCATGCGCCCAACGTGAATGTTGGGAGACCCTCATGATGATGAGTGTCTCAAGGTTCGATACTTCGATTGAGAGCTGAAACGCCACTAGAACTGGAATTGGCCAACAAAACAATCACCCAACAAAAGGCTGAATTGATGCTGATGTCATTTAATTTCATGATGACCTGATCAGGAAATGTCTCCCAAACCACTGCATGAACCACCGAAAGAAACATCAAAGCTTCATTGAAACCAACATTCTGATCCTAGAAACTGGCCTGCAATTCATGATTGCGTCTTGCCGGTAGTCACTCCCAACCAACCCTGTTTCTATATGCCACTGTGATATGCAACTGTCCATACACACATTAATGCTTTCAAACATGGTTTTGCTACAATCTCGCTTTTTTTGCGCGGAAAGAAATTGCTGCAGAAGATATGAGCATGCAACCTTGTGACTTCAAGTTTCCTGCAAGTGAGAGAGGCCTCTATCAGCTGACCTCGGAGAACTTACCTCCATCTACTTATTCTCTCCACTTCTCTCCACTTCTCTCCATCCACTTCTTTCCATGGACTTGTTTCAAAATCATCACCCCAGCCCACCATAGCCTCCTTTCTGTGCAAGGCTATCAAGGCTTGCTTTCGCAAGGGAATCAGTTCTCCTAGGGTCGCTTTCCATTGCATCCCCCGGCCAAAGCTGTTGATCATCGCCTGACCGAAGATGACCCAAGTTGATCTCCCTTCGACAGGGCTTTTTGTGACCATAGATGATGACAATTGAAAAGGCTTACAAATTGCGGTAGCACCTTTTTTTTTGACATTTCTTGAAGCGTTTCACCGATGATGGGTCGAGGTGTACTTGGTAGGAGGACTGATTGAGTCCTTGTAGAACATGAAAACGCATACTCTATCAAGTGGCTCAAGCCTGTTTCCAGCGGACCTAAGATTCTAAGATCTACACTATTAGTTGAACAAAAGTCTGTAGAGGATTCAAAGCCAACGAACTGCGAGGACACTATTTGATCTATTTGAATTGCAAATCTCTGAGTACAGCGTTTCTTGCCGTACCACAGTGGCGAACGGTGCAGTGAAAGTCACAGGTGCCTTGTGTGTGATGACATCAGCTTCCACTTCTTGGTGCTTCATGACAGCCATGAGCTCCATGCTTTGTTCCCATGGCTCCTCAGGCTGTTGCATCTATGATCCAAATTCTGGGGAGATGCTAATTGCTACAAGTGCATTTGTTGCGTGTCAGATGATCCAAATCTGTTTCCTTTGAACAGCAGACGGCCATCAGCCGTACCAGTCCGTTCCTCCTGGTTATTTTGATTCTGAGGTCAACGCCTTTGTGAAGAGTACATCAAACACAAACGGACGCTTAATCGACTAGACTAAATCTACATTGAAGAACTTCAAGGATTGGGTCACCATGTTTAAGCAGATGCGTTCATTATCCGCAAACAATCCAAGTATCTCAAACAACTTAGTGACTCAAAACAGTTTGCTACAAAATCTAATTCCTGAGTCATCCCAAAGTCAATCAGTGACATCATTACTTAAGATTCTGGTGCTTCCAAAAATGGATGCAAACCATCACAGAATCCAGTCGCGCACAACTAGGTCAGTTCGTTCCCCCAATCCCGCCGCGGTTCTCCTCGCCCATGGCGCTGTTCAAACAGGAGAGGCTCCGCCACTTGCGTGGGAGCTTCGACAGCAACCAAAACGTCCTGCAAAGGGATGACTATCCAAGGGGATCCCTAAGGGTTAGACCCAGAAAGAAATGAAAACTGTGGGTCCAAATTCCCTGTGTTAGCTTTTTGCATGACGCTTATTCAAAGTGATTGTCCAATGTTTTCCTGCAGTACCCCTTCAATCCTTCATAAGGCAATCAACATCCAATGCATTTGGAGGGCAAAGCACTCATCTGCGCATCCTAACTCATCTGCGCATCCATGCACCAAATTTGACTCATCTGCGCATCTCATCATCATATCACATAACCATTAAGAATTATACTACACAACCTAGAAACTCCAAGCCGTGGAAGGCATGGCAAACCCTGAACTATACGAAACTGCACCATGTCAAATACCTACAAAGTCAGAAACATAAGAAATCGAGAGGAATGGATACCAAGGAGATTGAAAACCAAATCGTGCACACGAAAAGAAATTGCTGCAACCACGCAAACTGTGGAATGCGCTCTCAAAGCCGCTGGCTAGCAACTGTGGAAACTGCTGGACACTGTCGAAACTGCGACAAACTGAAGAAACTGCCAGCAAGCACGGAAACTGTTAGCGACCATGAAACCAATCATACGCTAATAAAAACCATCAACAAACCAACGATTATTACGGGACACTATGAAAGATGACGGAAACTACCCGCGCTGCTGGAACAGATGAAACATGTTGGAAACCATAGAAACTGCTTGAAGCCATGCAAACCATGGAAACTCTAGAAACCACTGACCATGGAAAACGTTCAACTGCTGGCAACCATAGAAGAAGCTAGGCTATGATTCCGCTTATCTAGCGCGGTTGTGCAGACTGCAAGGGGGGTTTCCTTAACCCCGCAACGCGTTACATGGTATGAATGTCTTGATAAGTAAGTGATGTCGTGTCTGCACCTTCTTGTTGTCATGAACCAAGAACCGAGAACCTAGAACTAAGAAACAAGAACCGAGAATCAAGAATCGACTACCGAAAACCGAGAACCAAGCACCGTGAACCGAGAACCAAGAACCGAGAACCAAGAACCAGAAACCGAGAACCAAGAACAAGGAAACAAGAACCAAAAACCAAGAACCAAAAACCAAGAACCAGAAACCATAGGTTTCAATGTCCAAACTGGGCCTGTCATCTAGGTTGCCTGTTTAGCTGTGTTTTAGGTTTCGCGCTCGCTCTTTATCTGGATGCTACAATGCCCCGGCGCATTTGGAGCTTCAGGAATTCAAACTCAGCATCTGGGAATATCTGGGACAGGCAGCTGCAAACAAACTAGTCATGGTGCTTTCCATCTCAACGGAGATCTCATTCCAACTCCAATCTCCTCTTCCAGTCATCACGACAATTGGTCAGAGCTGCCTCGTACCTTTCAGGAGACTAGTCGCACACCAAAGTCTGATCAAAATTCCTTTCACATCAATGAAGCAAAGGGCCGGCTAAATGCGAATAATAAGGGGAACCATCAAGACAAATAGAAGGCACAGGAAAATTTCATTGATTGCACCCTTCAATGAACTGTAGTATTGGAAGTCGATTCAATCATTGAAGCCGTTCACACTCGAAAACCAAGCCCTTGCACCAGCCACCACCCTTAGGTCACGTGGTGCCATCCACGCAGAAGGATGACACAAGCGCCTCCTGAAGGTGTCCAAGGGTTGTCGTCCAAGCATGGAAGTCACAGAACACACATGGAGGTTTCTTAAAATATGGGTACCTCCAAATCATCCATTTTAATGGGATTTTCCATTATAAACCTTTCATTTTTGGGGTGCCCCCATTATGGAAACTCCCACAGTCGGCATACCAATGCCGAAACATCCCACGTGGGCAATTAGACGAGGGCTGGTCCCGCCCGGTCTGTCTGACATGTGTTTACTGGGGACGCCGATTTTGGTAACTCTGGGGGCTCTCACAGTTCACAAGGTTTTTGATGTTTTCTGATGATTGTTTTTTTCGAAAACCAACGGTGTATCAGACTTGTTGATGTGCACCGTGCTTCACAACCCCCTTCCGAAGCAATCTCCTGCTCTTTCATCGTTGCGAACCGTAGCTGTAACAATGGCCTGGGGACCGGAAAGGGTCAATTCCCTGGTCTACAATCTCCACAAGTTGAAGGCCCCAAAGGTCAGCCATCTTAGGTCATACAGAGTTTTCCCTTGAATGGTGGTTCCAAAATACAACCAGCTGCTTATGATTCCACTAATCTAAAACTGAATGGCAATGAAAAATGAAGTGGGTATCCCATTTATTTTGGAACCACCAATCAATCAATGTTTTTTTCCATGTTGATCCCTTAATCAAGAGCGGTTTCACAATCCTGTCCTACACCGGCAGGCTCTAGTGCTTTTTGCGTTACTATCCATTTGGAGATTGCCGGAGACCAGCCAAAGCCCTGTTGGCGCCCCAGGCCACAGAATGCCATTCAATCCTTGTATTTATATCTTTCCTCCTAAGTTGAAATCATTTACCGAACAAGGTACCCAACATTAGATCTAACATGAAGCCATGGAAGTTGAAATTTGGGGTGGATGGATTAAGCTCCTTTCTGAAAGTCCGGGACAAACGAAGCCAAAATTCCGGCCTAGGATTTCCAGTGGATTGAGCTTTTCGCTGGATCCCGTACTGCTACACAAGCTGTGGCACATGCAGGCTATTGTGCAACAGCAATTGACTTGAATGACTTTGCTGCAAATGGTCTTGGAGAAGGTGAAGGGTCTCCTTTTGGTATACTTAGCCCAAGTGGATTTGCGATCCTCAACTGAAACATTGCTAAAATTACCGCCACCCACACCAAGCCTCTCATATCCGACGGTAAAGTAGGGTCCGAAGTTCGACCTGAGGACAGCGGCATCTGCTATTCTTCATGGGACATTGTGGCTGGGGGTGCTTTGCGCCACATGGAGCGCCATGTCGAGAGGGTCAACTAGGAGGTCATGGCTTTGCCCTCTTGGATTGGATGATCTGGCATGTGTCAGTTCAGCCAGCCAAATGGTGGCACGGTAGGTGGGTCCAATGTTCCATTTCTCTCAATTGGGTGTAACCAATTTGCCAATGGGATATAACAAAGACCATTTGGATTTGATAATTTTCATGGCCTAAAATTATAATAAAAGATACCCTTCAGTCAACTTTTTGAAGAATGTGTCAAACTATGACTTGTCTTTCCCATGTGACATAGCTTCCAAAGTGATAGGGTATCCCTGTAGGTGCTGCCTGTTGATTTTGCTGGCAGTATGTGCTGGTGGCCAATTCATATTACAACAGCCGCGACAATCGTTGCTCTATCGGCATCCCCGGTTCAGATGGTTGACAGAAGTACTTTGTGTGGGGATCTTATTGCCACCGGATTACTTGTCCAATGTGACCCTATATGATCCCTGAATTTTTCTTGGACTGAGGTTTTCCGCTGCTCTTGGTGGATGAGATTGTTTGGAGCGGCTTCTCCCAAACGACACATTGCATATGGAAGTTCTGAATGGATTGAAAAACTTAATTTGGGTGTCTTGAAGGGTGGAAACCAAAGATGAACCCCGACCGAAAGACAACGTGTGTCTACAAGAAGGATGGCAAAACCAAATATCATGGCACGCGCCATTTGAAACCAAGTCAGAACCACAGTTCCATTAGCAGTATTGCCTCATTATCTTTGATTTGGAATTACACCATTGAAAACCATGGGGTCCTAAAGAGAAAACTTCCCAAAATTTTGGGTGATCGTTTAAGAGACCATTTTCCATCAATAGAAAACGACCCTAAATTTCAAACCATAGATAGCTTATGACTATGATATGGCTTGTGATGGCTTATATTAAAATGGCATCCCCATAAACATCTAGCTATACATTTTCCCCAATAATATTGCACCAGACCATTGGCCCCACTGAGGAATTATCCATTACGGTTTGGACAACGGGTTGCAGCTTTGGTCCCACTCTTGATCGAAGATCGTCCTTTGCCCATGTGTCCGCCTGAGGCAAATGCCATGAGGATCTTTGAGTCCATGTCTTACATTGACCTTTGGGAAGATGCAGCCCTAAGGAATTGCATTATTTACCTGCGAGGCTCAACGAAGCTCCGCATACCTGATGAATGGAGGGACCTTCTACCAACCTCTCTGTAAACTTACAGGGAACCCAATATGGCTATATGGCAGTCAAATACCAGTGGTTTAGCAATCTTCTCATTTTCCGACTCATTTTCCGACAAAAATCGACAGGTTTTCGCATGTTCGATTGATTTTCGACAGAAATCGATAGTTTGGATTCATTGCCAAAACAGCCAAAAAAAGTGGCCAAGCCACCCCATATATGGGCAAAGTTGGGTCAAATGCGTAATTCAGGAAAAAAAAAACAAAATTATCCAAAATTTATCAATAAAAAGCCAAAACATGTTTTCAACTTCACAGCCGTATTTGGGTCGTATTTGGGGTGTTTTTGTGGGGCCACTTCAGAGCCGTTTCATATGTTTCATATATTTCATGGATTCCCAACGTTCAATTCCTGGGGCCGACGTTCACACGTGCCTTACGTGTGCAAAAGAAATGGCTTTCAACCAGCTTTGATGGTACATTTGATGAAAAATCCCGTCGTCCCCAAAACTACCACCTGAACCATCCAATGTACCCTATGAAGAATGCTGGGATTTTGGGGATCACACAAATTTTGACTCTTTGATGCAAAGTTGATTTCAAATATGAGCAATGGATAGCAATGGGACGCATGTGGAATTTGTGGTATAGCTATTGAGGCTGTCGTTTTGCTAGTGTGTTGGGTGTCACTGCCACGGTATTGAAGCCATGCCAGCGCCGATGCCTTCGCGCACTTGGAGCACAGGATCCCTTGACGTTGGAAATCGCCACCTGCTTGCCGTGTCGCAGGAAGGTATGACCGAGCGAGCAAAGATGGAAGCCGAATTGAAGGCCAGGCACCATTTGGGACTGTCACAACATCGGGGTGAAAGATTTTTCAGTGGGCCCATACCCTTTAACTTTGATGGAATACCATGCCATAACATGAGAGGTTGTCAACCCTTTTCCTCAGGAGCTAGAAGATGAGGTGATGCAGCTGCAGAACATGGCTGATCCTGCTACTACCTGGTACCCAGTTCCAAAACTTACTCAGCCAATTAACTTTAGACTTTCCAAAAATAAGCTTGTGAAAAACAAGTTTACTCGCTCACCTTTGTTTGCCAGGCATTTCTTGAGGCGCCTGCCCACTTGGATGCTGAAGTCAACGAGACGCAGCTGGAGGACCCATTCATCCTGCCATCAATGTCGGGTTGTCTTAAAAAACAATGTCACATCATTTTGAGACATATCCATGTCTAGTTTTTGAAAACAATGGGAAAAACTGAAATTCAGGCATTGGCTGAATAAGTTGAAATATGCGCCGCCCTTTGAACGCTAAGTGCAGGAAGCATCTCTTGGAGATACCGGGGATGTGGCCAATGAGGACACACAGAGTGCAGAGGATCAGTTAGCTACTGTGGTTGCTGAATCTTGTGCTAGCCCCATGCAGTACACACACAAAACCCAACAACATGTTTGTGCTGAAATGGTCAAACAAGTCTTTTAGATCTATCCCCCTAGGAAAAAGAATCCATCAGCCGAGAGATTGCCGAGTTGGAAGAGCTTAAGAAGAAAAAGTTGGAGCTGTCGGCTCTGAAAGTTACTCCACCTCGCACTCCACAGGCAAGCCCTCCCAGCGCACGGCCTTCATCGGCACCATCCACGCCTGCATCGGTTTGTGGAGCTGCAGAAAGCGATTCAGATGGTGAGGCCATGTGGGGGATGGGATTGTTAGAGAATAGAATGCCAACCGGAAAAGGCTCCAATTTTGGGGCGAAAAAAATGTTGAAAACTGAACAAGACGGGCTCCAATTCTCGGATGAAAAAATTAAGCACATATGACATGCAGAGCTTCTGAATTCTTATCATGTTAGTTAGAGCCTCAATGATTGATATATGTTACACTCGGGACAAGAGTATTTATCTGGCCAGGGCTACGTTCGTGAGAAGATCACCAAAGATGACAAGGGGCGTCTGATGTGCAATGGGAAGTATATGTCAGACTCAGCTATCGAGCAAAGGTTGCGCCGCTTCTGTACTAGGAGGAAGTCAGGGCATGTGCCATGTGGGGAAGAAATTCTGAAGGGATGGGAAGGTGAACAACATGGTGACTTGATTGAGACCTTCAAGAGATGTGATCTCAACAAGGCCCAGCCCATACTTGAACAATATTTCATATCCTTTTCTCCTATCCGTCCTATCCCTTAAGCACCTGTTTCCCTCCCATTGCCCAGCCTCTGCCAGGCCGAGCTCAAGCGTCAGATCACCCAACTGGTGCGCGAGGAATCGGCCAAGCAGATGAAGGTCAAGTGTGGATGGTATACTACGGAACGTGCAATGAAAGAGACCCTGAAAATGGCGAAGTGCAACTCTCAGAAATACAATTCAACATTTCAGGCTTTCATCAAATTGTATTTCATACCAAAAAATATAGGCATGTGACATGGGTTGAAATTGTAAGGTGCGAGGTTGACGCCGTTGTGGCGTACACTGCCAACCACCCCGAACTCCGGAGGACTGCATTTGCTTGGTAGGACCATCAAGTTTTCCATGTTTCTTTATTAAGAATAGTGCCAACAACCACTGCGAGGAAGTGGAAATATGATGGGAAAACGGACCAGCACTGGGTCGAGTTTGAGGAGTCTGGAGAACTTTGGAAGCTTTATCTTCAGCAGAAAGACCATATTGAATCCAAAAATGTTGCCAATCTCAAAGCTTTCCAGAAACTGTCCGCTACCCCAGATGCCTTCTCAGCTCCTGGTGATGACATCACCGATGTTGGCACCAAGAAGCCATCTGCCGAACGGGAGGTGCAGGACTGGATGCTACAATCCTTTTTTTTGGTCTGGTGTCCCGTGAGCCGTGGGGTTGAATTTACATAATTTTTCCCCCCTCAAAGACTTATATATATATATATAGATAGATTGTGGATTTACGGTTTGGTAAAGGTTATGTTTTAGTTCGGCTGTGTTTCAAAAGTAGCACTCAAAGTCTCATGAACCGTATTAAAACTTTGAAGCTGGTAGCAAAACACACAGTAGCATCCAAATCATGATTTCCCACACCACAACCTTTGTTCCCAATTTTTTACATATGTATATATATATATAGAGTTTGAGTTTTATTTGTACTTGATGATTTTCGATAACATATATTTCTTTACCCTGGCTTAATCACTGGCCTCTGGTGATGCTGTATGTTTTTCCCTTGGTTAGTTGAAGCCGAGCAGTCATTTCTAAAATAAATTATTGACGACATTTTACAACGATATTTACGAGCATTCTGAGATCCCTTACATAGAGGTGATTATATACTTACACCAGAATGCCCCACATCTCTTACATAGAAATTTTTATTTACATAAAAAATCCAGATATCTTACATAGAGATATTTATTTACTTCAATAAAATCCAGATCTCTTACGTAGAGTTTTTTTTTACATAAACAATCAGACCTCTTACGTAGAGTTTTTTTTAACATAAAAAATCCCAGATCTTTTACGTGGAGTTTTTTTTTACATAAAAAAATCCCAGATCTCTTACGTAGAGGTAAAACATTTACATAACAAATTCCCAAACTTTTGCTGTAGAACAGAGATAGAGGCCAGTGGCTGAAATAACTCATAACCTGGAATACGCGTCTTAAATCACCTAAACTAGGACCTAAACCTTCCTCACAGCTGCAGGCCGGTGCTAGATCGTCTTCATTATGCTTACGGGGGGCTTGATGCATCGATCACAAATGCTCAAAAGTATACAAGATACTGTAGATACTTGATGTCTCTCTGCCAACCTGTTCATGACCATCCCATCACCATCTCAAACCATCTCGACCATTTTCTGTCTCTGAAAGTATGGGCACTGAGTCTCCACACCCACCAAGCAGCTGAAAAGGAAGTCCAGCATTGTGATCTTGGATGGGCTGAATACAAAAAGGCATCCATCGCTTTTCACTTTCTGGCAGCAGTAGCCACCCCACGCTGACTCGAAGTGGAAGAATGTCAACGGTACCTGCAATAGCCTTCGATGTCCATCCACAATCCAATAGTAATCCAATTTTCCACAAAATTGACACCAAAAGAAACGGATCACTGTTTGAGTGCATGCACTCGCGCAGAACCCCTGAAACCTGAGGTCTCAACTTGAGGCACTTGAATTGAGTACTTCAAGAGACCTAAGCGCACTCAGCTAGGCGGCTATACAACTTCTTTGTGGCCAGCTTGCATCAACAAAATTAATCAATTAAGTACGGTGCTTGGACATACTACACTCGAGCATTGATATATGTATATATATATATACAATGTTTGAGCAGCATATAATTCACAAATATGTTATATAGACAGCAAAAATTAAAAGTTCAAACATGCAAAACTTATTGACTGCAACTGCCCCTGTGCGGCTCACCCGGACTTTAGAATCCAAAGCAGGACTGAACGCAGGACTGAATCACCGCCAAGAAAATGGTCTGGGTTTCCAGTCGATATTTGAGGCAACTCCACCCAGCTGATCCGGAAAAATGGCGGCAACACGTGACAATCCAAATTTACAATACATGACGGTACAAACATTGACACTGAAAGCGAACGCTTTGAAGCAATCATCAAACTGCTGTGAAAATACTTGCAAAGCCGAGTCTTATGTGCCCACGGTAAAATTTGTGAATCTTCGAGTAAGAAAACATTGCACTTTCAGCTCTTTAACAGTACCTCATATCTTGGCTCTATCCCGCACACATGTGCCACTTATGCCACTTCATGTGACTTTACTGCAGTGTAGCCCATTTTTACAACCACACCACCTGGAAAGAGCAGCCCGAAACCATCCAGCCGAGTGGGTGCTACATCAACTTGTGGAATGGTTTGAAACAATGACAAAGGCCTTGTTTTCAGGGACAACAAGATTCGGTTTAATTTCCAAATCAATCATAACATTCATAACCAATCACTGACTCTTGACCTCCATTGGCCTGAGAATTTAGGCAGCACACAAATCTGCGGGACACGCTTCTTGGATGGTGGGAGCAAAGTTTGCCAGCTGCTTTGCTTGCAGCGACTTCAGACTGCGCTTAAGGCTTCTTGAATGCTGACCATAATTCAGCCATATTCAGCCAAATATTTTCCTGGTTGGAATTCTTTTGAATCTGCCATCCTTCAGTTTTCCATGCCACATGTTGCCACCTTGAGCAAGAAACACATGTGCTCTACATTGATTTACACCGCCACCTGGTCAGTGCTGCATGTGGATGCAAAATGGAGTGTCATCATTGCCCTTTCCATAAGCATGTCATGGTTTCAAAATAAACATTGTGGATCGCGTTGCAACCATAGAGTCGATACCAGTGGAAGTGGCTTAGGGAACCTGCAGACTGGAACAGGAACAAATCAAAGTAGAGTTAAAACTCACTGAGTTGGCATGAAACATCCAGTGTCAGCACTCTGGCCGCAGTGATTGCTGCCAAGCTCAAGGTACTGTACTGTTGGGAACAATCACTTGGTCGTTCTGTCAAGAATTGTGGATGGCAGCTGCAATGAAACTAGTCTTGTCAAAGTGACCAAACAGTTGGATAGACGTGGAGACATCGGTAACCTGAGGTAAACAATCTCTAGATCAAGCAATAAAACGGGGTATGTCTTGCTTGTGCCTCTTGAAACATACGCTCACACACACACATATATATATATACAGTACATATAATCATGTATATATATATACACATACATACATACATACATACATACATACATACATACATACATACATACCATACCATACATTACATTACATTACATTACATTAGTACATACATACATACGTGCATACATACATACATAAATAATTATATTACATACATACATAATTACATTACATACATACATAATTACATTACATACATACATAATTACATTACATACATACATACATAATTACATTACATACATACATAGTTACATTACATACATACATAGTTACATTACATACATACATAGTTACATTACATACATACATAATTACATTACATACATACATAATTACATTACATACATACATAGTTACATTACATACATACATAGTTACATTACATACATACATAGTTACATTACATACATACATAGTTACATAGTTACATAGTTACATAGTTACATAGTTACATTACATACATACATACATACATAGATACATTACATACATACATTGCATACATACATTACATACATACATTACATACATACATTACATACATACATTACATACATACATTACATACATACATTACATACATACATTACATACATACATTACATACATACATTACATACAATACATACAATACATACATACATACAATACATACATTACATACAATACATACATTACATACAATACATACATTACATACATACATACATACATACCATTACATTACATTACATTACATAACATAACATACATACATACATTACATACATACATTACATACATACATTACATACATACATTACATACATACATTACATACATACATTACATACATACATACATACATACATACATACATACAATACATACAATACATACATACATACATTACATACAATACATACATTACATTCATTACATACATACATTACATTACATACATACATTACATACATACATTACATTACATTACATTACATTACATTACATTACATTACATTACATTACATACAGACAAACAGAACAAACAAACAAACAAACATACATACATACATACCATTCCATTCCATTCCATTCCATTCCATTCCATTCCATTCCATTACATACATACATACATTGACAACTTCCAATATTGGACGACATTGTAAGTTGCTTTTAATTCTGCATCATCATTATTGAATCTCCTGGTTGCTCTTACGACTCAACAAACAAAGGTGGAATCTTGCACCGCTGGGAATCGTTGTCGTGGTGAAGTTGTTATAGAGATTACCTCAGTTAGGAAAGCTACTGTATGCTACACTATGCTACTGTGCTTGGTCTTAGCACTGCACTTGTGAAATCTTTGTGGCGAACTCCTTGAGCCTGACGACAAAAAGACCAATTATTCGGTGAAAAGAAGGCCATGGATGGCCATGGAATTTCATTTTATTTCCGCGGCCATCTTTTCACCACCTATTGCCATCATCAGGTTTCGTAGTGTGGCGTTCTTGCCAGGGCAATTCGAACTCCAAACAATGTCACCTGAAGATGGCCTCCAGGACGTCCATCATGTAAGCATTAGACAGACATGGAAGTTTAGGACACCTTGCCATTTCATGCCATTTCTTCACAGAAAATCGTTTGCATTTAAAGCTGTAAGGATATATAAATAAATCATCAATACACCTGTGGAATGAAACATTGCAATACTTGGTTAAACTCAAACATCATCACTATAGATTTTACTAGTACCAGGTAAAAGATGGTAAAACTGCGGCTTACCAGGTTCCTGAAACAAAAAAATGACCTCGACATTGTAAGCAACACGTTCAACTCCACGCTTCAAAACCATTCAAAACCAACATATTGAACACCTTAGCAAAGAATCAATGATCCAATGCTTGACCTTCCATTAGCCTGAAACTGGAATGGAACCAAACCATAACGACAGCGCAGCTGAACAAATTTATAGAACTACAGACTGGTTCACCCGGCAACTTGCAGACACTAGAAAAAAACAGTTTAATCATGTTTCATACCTTTGAATTGCAGATTGGACTTGTTTTGCTTGACCTCTAGTTAATAAACAACCCCTATAAATAAAGCTACCAGCTTCCCCAAACTGAATATACTACTGAGCCATACCTGCACCTTTGATCTAACTTTAAGGTAAAAAACAAACACCTCTAAATAAAACCTGGTGGAAATTTAAAGGCCATTGCTTGTGGCCACTGAGCTCCTCTGACACCAGCTCCTTTGACCTGAAGCTCCAACCTTGACCCAGATGGACCCAGACTCCAGACAGAGCAAAAACAACCTGATACAGTGGCTACAGGCAATATGTTGCAATCCATATGCCTGTTATGTTCGGAAAAGAATGCCAAATGAACTCAATGAGCCCTTACTTTTATTGTAGATATATGCAAGCTTGGTCAGCGGTCAACACATTTGACGGATGGTTTGGGATAAGATTGCATGAAATGATCCAAAAGTTCCCGATCAAGGCAGCAAGTCAGAGAAAATCTGGGTAAATATGGTAATTTCGAAAACCGCGTCCAAAACTATTAAACACTACCGCGCATTTTTTCAACATGCATAAATTTCCCTGGAGTTTGTTTGCTAGTCACAAAATCATATAGCTTACTATCTGGGAAGGTGTGTATACAGTATATTACAAAATATATCAAAACATAATATACTTGAACCTGCGCACCGGAAGCAAACAACTTTGACTGGGCCCGCCTATATTCTCCAACACTGGCACCGTGGCAACATGTCTCATAACTAATCCGTGCAATGGCCAGGTGTCCTTGACTTTCAATGTCTCAACTACAGTGCACGCTGTGCTTGTGCATAAGGCTCATCGACTAAAGTCTGAGGCGATTGAAGCTTTGGATTCCACTGGCTGAGCAACTTGGACCTCAAATGCCAGCACAGGCATTTCACCGGATTCTCTGTTGGATCTGTGCATTCCCAGAGTATGCTACAGAAGATTTCGAGTGTATTGCAATATATATATATATTATATATATATAATACTAGATATATATATATATTATATTATATATATAATACTAGATATATATATATATATATTATATTATATATATAATACTATATATATATATTATATTATATATATATTATATTATATATATTATATAATCATGATGATATACACGAGTGTGTTTGATTGTCTTTGCATCCATTGGTTACCGACAAGAACGCAACATAATATAACAAAATGTTACCATAACCGTAACTTCCCACACTCCGGACTGGACAACCGCACCTCGCGGCCCAGCGATTTTGTACAAACCTGACAAATTGTGGCGTGAAAACTTGCAAGCTGCTGGTAACCAAACAGCTCTAGGGAAGAAGTGATGATTCCATTGGTTCCATTCAACAATCGATAGCTTCCAAATTCAGAACCCAAACCATTGCCATGTTTTGGGTAGCCCTAAAATACTTCAAGACTGGCTATGACTGAACCTAAACTGCGCAAATGCGAAGGGATTGTCAAAATGAATCAGCATCTTGCGACTGGTCCGAATGCTAGTATCTACCGAGAACAAGACGGGGCGCTGGTTCACAGTGACACTTCGGTTGTGGGCCTCAGCTGAACCCAAGTTCACCTAGTTAGTTTTTCTTCATGGAGTGACGAGTTGTGAACCCCTTAGACTCATATGAGCTTTGTGTTCTTCTATTTTTCTTACTTATCTAACATGTGTGACATTATTCAATTCCGCCGTGAAACCTTGCGTGGTGTTTCCGCAAACACAACGCCAACTTGCGCAAAACCACTTGATTAAAGGTTGTGTCCGCAAACTTCCACAAAACAGGTCTGTGCTTCTGCTGCCTCAGTCTCGAATGTATTTTGAC